AAAAGCAGCAGCGCAAGTTCCAATATGGGAATTACTGCAAGTACTATGGGTACCGCAATCCTTCCTGTGAGGACGGGCGCCTTCGGGTGTTGAAGCCTGAGTGGTTTCGCGGCCGGGACGTTCTCGACCTGGGCTGCAACGTGGGCCACTTGACCCTGAGCATTGCCTGCAAGTGGGGCCCGTCCCGGATGGTGGGCCTGGATATCGATGCCCGGCTCATCCACTCGGCCCGCCAAAACATCCGACACTACCTGTCCGAGGAGCTGCGCCTGCCGCCCCAGACTGCTGGGGGGGACCCAGGGGCGGCGGGTGAGGAAGGAGCCAGCACCGTCCGAAAGAGGAGTTCCTTTCCAGCCTCGCTGACAGCCAGCCGGGGTCCCATCGCCGCACCCCAAGTGCCACTGGATGGAGCGGACACGTCAGTCTTCCCCAACAATGTTGTCTTCGTCACGGTAAGGGGGGCCAGAGGCTCTCGGAAGAGGAAATTAAGTGGGCATGTGGTGGCAGGGAAGGTTATGACCCAGAGGGATTTCCATGCGTCTTCCTCACTAGCAGAACCAGTTCCTCAAGAAAAGGGGTGGATTGACAAGTGAGAGCCTCCGCTGGGCGCGTCTCCCCTTCTGTGGCCTGGATAGATGGGGTCTCTACCTTGGGACTTTAGCCCTAGAGTCCTTTCTCATGGCTGCCAGGATCTCTTTTCCCAAGATGAAGGCTGACTCTTTGCCCTGTTCCTGGCCTGGACTGTAATTGCACCCAGTGTGCTCTCTCTCGAAGGCTGCTCCTGCTAGGGTATTTGGTCCTGGCAGAGTCTTGTCCTCAAACGTATTAGAGGAGCAGGAGAGGCTGGGCGTGGTGGCTCAGACCTGTAACCCCAGCACTTTGTGAGGCCGAGGCGAAAGGGTTTGCCGGAGCCCAGGGGTTCAAGACCAGCCTGGGCAGCTTGGTGAGACCTCATGTCTACAATAACTAAAAAAAATGCTGGGCCTGGTGACACACGCCTGGAGTTGCAGCAACTTGGAAGGCTGAGGTGGAAGGACGGCCTGAGCCCAGCAGGTCAAGAGGCTGCAGTGGCTGTGAGCATGCCACTACACTACAGCCTAGGTGACAGTGGGACTCTGACTCAAAAAAAAAGCCTGAGAGGTGAGGGTCAGACATGGAATGTCTTAGGAGGAGGGAGAGATTGGAGTCATGGCAGATTAATAGGTAGGTTTTAGGTCCTAGGGATCTTGTTTGCATCGACTGCTTCTGTTTCCCTAAACAGAGCTCAGTGAAGAGTGTCAGTAGTCAGGAACCCAAGTGGCTTGACTTAGGTCATTTCCATGTTGAGGTAGTGGGAGAGGGACGAGTCAGAGACTTGCGGAGAGGGGAGACTGCCACGCCCGACAGTGTCTGCCCCTCGGCTGTACACTGCTCCCCGTAAAACACTCCAGAGGGCATCTGCCGAAATATTTGGCAATGTGTTGGGTTACACCTGAAGAATGGGCTTTCCAGAGGGTGGTGATGAGTTTATCATCTAGAAAAGGTTTCCTGAGGGATGTGGTTCATTTCTCTCAGATAAAGAATCAAGCCTGAAACTTTGCCAGCCCCAACAGAGGGGAAGGAACCACACAGGTTCGCCTTTGAAACCTGGGTTAGTAACCCTGGCATAACATTGATTCATTCCGCTTCATTTGTGGGTGGGAAGAGGCACAGGATAGGGTCTTAGGGGAACCCCAGCTTGGCTGAGCTGGTGGGCAATTTGCTCCATTTGAAATGACCTAGGCTTCCTTTTGGTGCTTGTTTGGTTTACCACCAGTAGGCAGCAGAGGCAGTTTGGGAGTGGGTCTGAGAGGAATGTGACCACAGGCCAAAGTGAGGCTGCAGGACTTTGTGGCAGTGCCGGCTGAGGAGGCTGAGGAGACCTTGAGGGCCGGGTTCTCGCCACCCCTCCGCTGACCTCACCCCAACTCTTGCCCTCAGGGTAACTACGTGCTGGATCGAGAAGAGCTGGTGGAGGCCCAAACACCCGAGTACGATGTGGTGCTCTGCCTCAGCCTTACCAAGTGGGTGCATCTGAACTGGGGAGACGAGGGGCTGAAGCGCATGTTTCGCCGGATCTACCGACACCTGCGCCCTGGAGGCATCCTCGTCTTAGAGCCCCAGCCCTGGTCATCCTATGGCAAGAGAAAGACTCTCACGGTGAGTTGGGTTTTGGTGGAAATGGAGATGATCCCTTTTTTGGTTGAAGCAAGAAAAGCCCGAAGGAAGCAGGAAGAGGGCTTTCTGATCAATGTGAAAAGGTCCCCTGGGTGGGCATCCGTTGGCCAGGGGAGGAGGTAAGCTTACGCGGCCCTTTGCCTTTCCTCCCAGGAAACAATCTACAAGAACTACTACCGAATCCAGCTGAAGCCAGAGCAGTTCAGCGCCTACCTGACATCCCCAGAAGTGGGCTTCTCCAGTTACGAGCTTGTGGCCACACCCCACAACACCTCTAAAGGTAAGTCTGGCTTATTCTGTGGGGGGAGGTTGGCTAGGAGGGTGCAGACTCCGTGGAGTCCTAAGGTCCTGCCAGCTCCTGATTGCCCACTGTCTCCACAGGCTTCCAGCGTCCTGTGTACCTGTTCCACAAAGCCCGTTCTCCCAGCCACTAAGTGGTCGCCTGAACAGAAAGTATGAGGAGGCTGCCTTCGCTGCTCCTGAGGACCTGGGGGAAGGGGAAAGCATCCCAAGACCTTTCCTTTCTGACTCCAAAGAGTTTCTTTTCTGGATCTGCAAAGAAGCGTTTCTTCTGTTGCTGCCCCAGCCTCTCCCCTGTGCCTCTGGCACCTAAGCAGATCCAGCTGTGCTGGAGCTCCCATCATCTTCCTCTCCCCCAGCCTGCTGAGCTGGGTGGCATGGACTGTTTGCTGACCTTTTGTTCTCCTAGGGCACGGGGGGCGGGTGTCAAATGATCTAGCCCTTCCTCCTGTTCTTCCAAGGAGAGAGATTCCCACTTCTCCTCAGCTTTCGTCCCTAGCTGCATTTCAGTGGACCACGGATAGATGGACTGAGGGCTAGAGGGGGAAGCTTGGCAGGGAGGCACGCAGGTACTGTGAAAATCCTTCCCTTCGCTGTCCCCCAGCGGGCGAGGGGGTTGGGTTTTCGATGTGAGCACAGCACAATAAATTTGATGTCTAGGGCAGTGGCCCCCACACCTGTGTCTGGTACTTTTTAGCTGATGGGGAAGGGATGGCACTTCCCAGTAGAACCTGTACTTCCTCTCAGCTCGTGCCAGTCTCAAGGAAGAGGACTGGCTTTTCAGTGGTTGAGAAGATTGTGCTAGTCAAAATCTACATGCAAGTATGCAAAAGCCTAGTTGGGAAAAGGGGTGTAATGCAAATCTTGATGAAATTTGAAGACTCCATCCCCCTCCCTCCAGAAAAAAACCCTGTTGATGGTTGTTTGGTGGGGGAGCTTTGGGCAGAAAGTTAACTTTGTAAGAGTTAACAGTGGAGGGCGAAAAAAAAAAGGACTTCAGCCCAGAGCCATCCAAATGTGCTAAGGCTGACAAACCCCCTTTTTTGTGTTGTGGACTCAGACCTACAGGCAATTAACGTGAAGCTCTTCAGTGGCTTGTCAAGTGTCACTGGAGCTTTGAACATCCTTTCAACAAATGCCGAGTACTCTTGAGCCAGGCACAAACGAGGGACAAGACCTTTAAAGGCAAAAAGCAAGGAGACAATTTCAGCAACTCGGTGCAAGCAGCTGCCTTGCGGGCTCCGAGAGACAGGTAACCAGGGAAGGCTTCTGACGCGCGGCGGGCTGAGATGTGCGCTTTAAGCGATCAGAAGTAAGTGGAGCAAAGGAACAGGCGTGGCATCAAAACCGGAGGCAGGGAGAGGCAGGGAGGCCGGGGAGGGCAGGCGTCTCCGAAGCCCTCACCCGGCACTGGTTTCCGCCCGCCGTGAGTTCCTGAAAAGAAGCTCCAGAACTCGGCTCGCAACCGAGGCGGGCGGCGGGCCGCGGGCGCGCGCGGGGCCTCGAGCGAGTCTCGTTGGCCAGCAAAGCCACTTTATTCGGAGAGGGCGTAAACACGCGGGCGCCGCGAGGCCTCGCGAGGCCTAGGCCTCCCACCGCCGCAGCGTGCGGTGCATGAGGAAGGCGTCCTCCGAGGGGCGGGCGCGGGGCTGCAGGCGGAGGGGCGGCAGGCCGTCCAGGGCCAGGTGCGGCGACT